ACAAACTGCATTCAGATGACTTGAGATTCTTCCATTTGCTTTTAATTTTTAGTACTTATTTTAAGTTGCTAATACATTTTTCTTTGTTTACATTGAGACTTGTGTAACGTTATATTTTTGTGATTTTTATCATTTCGAAATTGGCAGTACATATTGGGATCGGTTAGACTGATATCAAAATATTCGTGATCGGCCTCAAACAACAATTCAGGACCTACATTAAAAAAAAACGATACTTTAGCATGAATTTTTAAGTATTTCTCCTCCGTATTTTTGCAGAGTTTTGGTTTATCGGAAAGAGTCCTGGCGGAGAAGTCTCTCATTTTGATTGCATTCAATACATTTCCAGGATTTTAAAGGAGTGTTAGAGCTGCTGGAACACAATAAAGAAAGATAGGACATATACAGGAACATTTGCAACAGGCATAAATGTTGTATTACATCCGAATGAGAGGTTGTCAGTGTAAAAATGTTGACCAGACAGGCAGAAGCCTGGTTTGTGATTCAGATTTGCTTCCAGTGTCAGGAAAAGTAAACCGACCACACAGGAAAATAAAGGAGCTCAAATGTGACCAGCACTGAAGAAGAACCAAGCATAAAGTAATCATCTCATTTATCTTTTATAACCTTCTAACCTTCATTCCCACATTTTTTTCTAAAGCAACCTGTTTAACAAGACTTACCAGCTATAGAGAAAATGTACGCATCTACTTTACCAGTAATAGCATGTTTACACTGTGTACGTCTGTATGATAGACACATTATTAGAATAACACAGACTAATTACACCTTTCAGGGACAAGCTTTTAAGCAACAGGGACACGAAGGGAGGGTATTATGTTGTGTGGTGCAAGCTGTGACCAACTACAGTGAACATAACACTCAGAGATTTATTGTTTTTTTAGCAGCAGCAGACACCTTAATAGACAAAGTTCATGATGGTTGCATTAAGCTGACATGAAAAACAGAATGTTATATGATGTCCAAGAGTTATTATCACAACATTCATATTTTTAAGATCTGATTACAGTTTCAAAAGTAATAACTAACTTATTTGTTCAATTTCTATATAACATTGTATTTAAATAAATTATTTGTTTAAGGCAACAGATTTTTTTTTAAGGCGAAAAATAAACTAGAACCTGTTCATTGCATTCCCAAAACCAAATGTGCCAATAAGAACTTGTTGAAAAGAGGATTTAGGCTGAGACATATCAGTCTCTACAAGCTAAGCTCTGTTTGGGGTTTCTCTCTGTCATACTCTCTGCAGAGAGAGTCCATCTATAGACCATTTTTTCCTCAGTATAAACAAGCTGAGCACTAAATTTACAGCTGAAGCTGCTGCTCAAAGAAAATTGCAATGTCAATTAGTTTGGTTCTATGAACCTAAACTCCTACTCCTACTTTAATTTCAAATATCTCCCCCCAAAAAATCAGATTATTTCTTCTTTTTTTCCTCCATCAAGTTTAATAGAAATGACAAATAACACATTACTTCAAAAACTAGCTTTTATTTCCATCATACTGTGTCTCTCTTCCTGTCAAACTCATGATATTCCCATCAAACTCCTGTGCTGGAAGATTTCTGGTCTGCTAATTTCAGCGTATTTACAATTGCTATGCTCATCTTGTTACATCTACATACATGAAATGTTTTAAAAGGCAAAGAGATGATAAAACAAACAACAAACTACAACCATAGTAAGCTGTTTATGCAGCCTCATAGCCTCAATAAGAATCACAAAAATGTGGCTGGATTTGACGTCTTCCCTCCATAAATGTTTACCATCCCATCACAAACAGAATATGATATTAACTTTCCTTTGTTCCTTTAGGAAACAAAAGGCGGTCTCTCATTTTTCTTTTTCCTTTAAACAAAAGAACAGAATCTAAACCCATCTAAAATCTGTACCAAAAAAAGGTTGTTGTTTTTTTCTCAAGTACTGTTATGATGCTGTGAAAAAGGAATAATTTGCGATATCTAAATATTTACATTTTTTAGATTAAATAACAATTCCTTTACATTTGGCGGATTTTCCTAGCATGCAAATCTCTCTGAAGGCATGTCAAAGGGTCTCAATATATACATTGACTAGGCCACTCAGAAACCCGCTGAACTTAAGACAGTCTTTCTGTTGCAAAATAAGAGCTCCTGACCTCAAGTCCATGAGGCACACAGCCTGTCTACTTTTAAGGGTAGCCTTAAAACTTTCCTTTTTGATAAAGCTTATAGTGGCTCAGTTTATCCTGAGCTTTCTTTATAGTTATGCTGCTATAGGCTTAGACTGCTGGAGGACATAGTGATCCCTTTTTATTATTCTGCTTCATTCCATCTCTATTTTCCCATTCTGCAGAATGTGTTAGTTCAATTTCTAATGATATTCCCTCTCTACTTTCTCATAGTAGCTTCATCTGGTCTGTTTCTGTTTGGCTGCAACAACATCCTGGGGAGAGATATCATCTGTGCTGCTTCCATCACACCTTTGTTTATAGATGTTCGAGATTAGCCTATTTTTCAGTGTAGTCCTGTTTCTCTGACTGTGACAGTCTGGATGTGCTCCCTTCATCCTCTGACATGGGAGCTGGTTTGGAGCTTGCTGCCTGGCTGTGTGTTTCCTGGGCGGGGCCGCCTGTGGAGTTGGTTTACAGTTGCCTTTCTTATCTTTGCTTCTTTTTCTATGTCTGCTTCTGTCTCCTTGAACCCCAGTCGGCCTCGGCAGATGGCCGCTTACACTGAGTCTGGCTCTGCTGGAGGTTTCTTCCTGTTAAAAGGAAGTTTTGCTCCCCACTGTCGCTACAAGCATGCTTGGTGTGGATTGAGTCAATGAGGGGATGCATCAGTTGGTTTTGAACCAATGAGATGGTTGTGAATTGGCACTGTATTAATAAACTGAATTGAAGTTCAAAACACTGAAGTTCAAGTCTATTTGTTAAAATTAACAAACATTCAAAAAGACATGTAAGTTTTTAAACCCGCTGAACTTAAGACAGTCTTTCTGTTGCAAAATAAGAGCTCCTGACCTCAAGTCCATGAGGCAGACAGCCTGTCTACTTTTAAGGGTAGCCTTAAAACTTTCCTTTTTGATAAAGCTTATAGTGGCTCAGTTTATCCTGAGCTTTCTTTATAGTTATGCTGCTATAGGCTTAGACTGCTGGAGGACATAGTGATCCCTTTTTATTATTCTGCTTCATTCCATCTCTATTTTCCCATTCTGCAGAATGTGTTAGTTCAATTTCTAATGATATTCCCTCTCTACTTTCTCATAGTAGCTTCATCTGGTCTGTTTCTGTTTGGCTGCAACAACATCCTGGGGAGAGATATCATCTGTGCTGCTTCCATCACACCTTTGTTTATAGATGTTCGAGATTAGCCTATTTTTCAGTGTAGTCCTGTTTCTCTGACTGTGACAGTCTGGATGTGCTCCCTTCATCCTCTGACATGGGAGCTGGTTTGGAGCTTGCTGCCTGGCTGTGTGTTTCCTGGGCGGGGCCGCCTGTGGAGTTGGTTTACAGTTGCCTTTCTTATCTTTGCTTCTTTCTGTATGTCTGCTTCTGTCTCCTTGAACCCCAGTCGGCCTCGGCAGATGGCCGCTTACACTGAGTCTGGCTCTGCTGGAGGTTTCTTCTTGTTAAAAGGAAGTTTTGCTCCCCACTGTCGCTACAAGCATGCTTGGTGTGGATTGAGTCAATAAGGGGATGCATCAGTTGGTTTTGAACCAATGAGATGGTTGTGAATTGGCACTGTATTAATAAACTGAATTGAAGTTCAAAACACTGAAGTACAAGTCTATTTGTTAAAATTAACAAACATTCAAAAAGACATGTAAGTTTTTACTTAAAAATATATTTAAATCAGCCTTGTTATGTGACCATTTACAACTAAAACACTGTTTGATGAGCAGACTGACACCTCGGTAGTTCAGAGCAGATGCATCTATAAGCCTGTAGCCAATTTTCCCGATTTTTTTTCGGAAGTTCCTGCCCTGCTCTGCAAATTTAATAATAATAATTTGAAGAATTTGAAGTCAAAGGAGTCAATGTTAAATGGGTCTAACCAAGAAAACAATGAAAACGTTATATTTAAGATGGCTTTTGTGGATACTCAGAAGCCTCTGGCTTCCAGCTTTACTCAGACCAACGGCAACTCCAGGTAAGATGAAAAAAGTTTTAAAAATGGTCTAGTACGAATGCGAGCTACTACAACAAGCTGAAGAGTGCTGTAGTTTTGTATTTTGGCCACAAGTGGCAGTATCATTAGAAAACTCCATAATGTGTCTTTAAGTTCACAAAACAGAGGATGAAATAGGAAGCCAACAAATAGTTTCCATTGCACTATCCATCCTAAAATGCATATAAACATAGGAAAAGCGATCTCTGAGCTTGCCCTTCCTGGGAAATGTTCCCTGTGTTGAAAGGCTGTTTGGATTCCTAGAATGTTTGTTCCCGAAAAAATGCCAAATCTAATTTGACCCCAAAAATGAGGATACTGCATATTGTCAGGGGACGAGTGTGTGCATAGTGAGACACAATGAAAAAAAAAACACTGATTGCTGCATTTCTGACTGATATTGACTACCAGCCTGCTGACAGCAGCAAAACGCTGTGTGGGAGACGAGCTCTATGTGAGCTTTCTGTAACTGACCTTGGAAACCTCATTTGAACCAACAGTAGATTCCCACACACACAAAATAACCACATTTTCCAAACACCATTTACATGCATTCAAACTGATATGTTGCAAAAGACACTGAGAAAAAAAAAACACTGAAGGCAACATAAATATGGCTCTCAATTAAAAAAGTACACCAGGTACAGAGCTTGCAGTAAGCTAAGGATTATTATTATTTGAAGTAAAGGGTCGCTGCTTATATCGAACAGCGGGTCCACATGGAAGCATAAACTGTGAAGGTCTTTTTTAGGGTTGTAGATGAAACATAAAAATGCAAAGTTTGTGTTTAATGAATTTAAACTGTAAACTGTTGGATATGATTCTTACTTACAGTTTGTTTCCTTTGAGGGCGGCGTGGTGAAGCAGGTTGAAGCCTCTGTGGTTCTGCTGGGTGAAGTCAATGTTGGGCACTATGACTAGGATCTCAATAATGCCACGGAAATCCTTGGCAATGGCGTCATGAAGCGGCGTGTCCCCGTACGAATCCTAACAGAGTAATGGAGCAAACAGCACAGTGAGTAAAGCTGCTGCGTTCATTAAAACTTATTTACTTCTAGACCTTTTTGACATTGACAAAAATTGTGTTTTATTCTGTGCATATCTTCCAAAATTAATTCTAAAAACCTGTGAATGTAAACTGGATTTGTTCAGGTTTTCTCTTCAGTCAGAGCATAAACAGACAGAGAAATAGACCATATGCACATTTGTCAGTTAAAAACACAGACATACTCCAGGCTGACATGTTTTTTAGCCGAGCAGCCGCATTATTCAAGTAGAATAAACTGAGTTAGTTAGTCAAATCTGGGCAAGGCTGCAGGCATGTTAGACCATCTGAAAAATATCCATTCAAACAAATACAACATTATCTTAATGAGGCAGCAACACTGGGCCAGAAAAACTATAAATTGATTAGCATACAGACCTATTTAGCTAGTTTTTGAGATTACAGCCCTATTTATCTAATTATTCTGATACTTTATATTAGGCTAATTTTCTGAGATTTCAACTCTATTTAGTTTTTTTTTTTTTCCATGAGATTACAGCCCTATTCATTTAATAATTCCTGGGATTACTGACATATTTAGTATTTTTTATTATGGTGCTATATTCATCTAGTTTTTCTGAGATTACAGTTATATTTAGCATGTTTTTTTCTGAGATTACAGACCTATTTAGCTAGTTTTTTTTTAGATTATAGTCCTACTTATCTAATTATTCTGAGACTTTAGCTATATTAAGGTAATTTTCTTAGATGACAACTCTATTTAGTTTTTTTTCATGATATTACAGCCCTATTCATTTAATATTCCTGGGATTACTGACATTTTTAGTATTTTTTATCATGGTGCTATATTCATCTAGTTTTTTCTGAGATTACTGCCATATAAAGCATTTTGTTTTAGTACAGCACTATTTAGCATTTCTTTTTTCTGAGATTACAGCAATATTCATCTAGTTTTTCTGAAATTACAGTTATATTTAGCTAGTTTTTCTGAGATTACAGCTGTAGTTAGCTATTTTGCTGAGATTATAGCCTATTTTAGCAAATGTTTTTGAGACTTTAGCTCTATTTAACTAATTTTATGAGATTGCAGTCCTATTTATCAGTTTTTCAAAGGTATAGAAGTTTAAACCAAAGGAAGGAAGAAAAGACAGACTAATCAATGATGGGAAAAAGGAATTATTGGACAGATAATATGTAACCTGTAGTCAAAACCCTTACCAGACTAAGCAGGAACCCTGTATACAACTCAACGTAAACAGTGAATGACTAAAGGCGTGTTCACACACAATCCATGAGGCGACTGCAGCGAGTGATTTACACGAGATCCCGTTGTAAAGACGCGATCAGACTAAGCCACTGTGAGTTCATCATTGTGTCCGAGACAGGGAGCTTAAATATCAAGCCACCAACACCAGTTTACCCACACAGAAATTTACATTCAATATGATCATATCTTTAGCACCAATAGATCATGAATTACACCAATATCTATCAACCCATTCAATGTAACAGTCAATATAGCCACAAAAAGAGGTAAAAAGAGAAAAGTAATAAATTAGGGTCTTCTTTCAGGTGCTCAAGTGTAGTACAACATATTGTAGTTGAAGCTGCAGGGGTCTCTGCACCCGCTCACCTGGAGATTGACGTCAGCCGAATGTTCAGTTAGCACCCGCACCACGTCAGTGAAGCCCTTGTTGACGGCAATGTGTAGCGCTGTGCACATGGAGTTGTTCAGTACGTTGACATTTGCCCCTTTGCTCAGGAGCAGCCGTGCAATCTCCGCCTGGTTACTGAATTAAAAACAAACAAACATGGGTTAAACGTTTTTATTAGCTGGTCTTTGTTTTTATGAAATACTGGCTAATTTAGGTGAATCAAAGGACTAAAAATACACTCATCACACCAGATAAATGCAGGTTAATATCAACACCTTTGCAACATTTTTCCAGATTTCTGCATAAAAACTTGTCTACACATGATGAATGGAGGCTCAGAACAGTAACGCGCCCTTACCCAAAGGCAGTGTAGTGTAATGCTGTGTCTCCGTCTTCATCTTTCACCTCGATGGAGCTGTTGGCCTGCAGCAGGGCCTTCACCACTTCTGTGTGGCCTTGGTGAGCGGCGACCTGCAGAGCCGTCTTGCCTTGGTTCTTGATATCCACCTGGCAGGAACACAGACGAAGTTGGAGATTCATGAGAAACAGAAAAGCACAGCGCGCCAACAGAGCTGATCAGAGACTGGCACGAAATAATCTGCGCACACAAGCCTTTCTCCTTATACACGTGACAGAGATAATCCCAGCAGCAGTGCTGTCATAGCAAAACAGGAGCACAACAAAGATGTGCCTTACAAAAGTATTCACACCCCGTTAAGTTTTTCCCATTTCTCACATCACAACTTAAACTTCAAGGAGAAACTGCTGGAAAAAATTTGTTGAGCTTTCCTTACCTGCTCGAGGTTACATGGGTTTTATCTCTACATGCTGTAGACCTGGAAGGATTTTTCTGTTTTTAGGACCTCCGTAAAACTTTTAAAGCTGAGTTAGAATGGAAAAATAGACTAAGTGAGGCCAGAATTGAGACAGTCCTTGATCTGAACCATTACCTGGTATCTGTGGCTGTATGTTTAGGTTTGAGATCCTAGAAGTTGAAGGTCTGCTTTAGTCGCAACTCTTTGCAAGAATTTTCTTTTTCTTCCAGGATTGTCCTGTATTTAGCTCAGCCCATTATGCCATCTACTTCAATCATGTTCCCTGATCTACGGTGAACAGAAACCTTCCCACAGCATGATGCGTTTCATTGTGGGAACATGTTTTCAGCAACATCAAGCTTTTTAACTGTAGGCCAAAAGAAATTTGCTCATTCTCACCTAGTGAGAGCACTCTTCTATATGTCTACATATCTTGTTGCAAACTGTAAACACTCCATAATGGCTACCTTCATGCCAATCTTTTATAAAAGATCAGATTTGTGGAGAGGAGGACTAACAGCTGTCCTGTAAACCACCTGAGCAGTGGATCTCTGCAGCTCCTCCAGAGTTACAAAGCCTGCTTCTCTAATTAATGCGCTCTGTTCCCTGCCTGTCAGTTCAGCTACAATTCCATGTCCCTTTAGGTTTAAAATTGTACAATACCCTGTGGTTCTGGATGGTGATTAAAACAGTGCTCTGTATTCAAATTTACTAAATGAATCGTTTAATAATCTGCCCCAGCTTTGAGCTTCTAAACACCTGCCTCTCTGACCGGCTTGCTGCTTCTATGTTTCCATGATGCTGTTTGTTTACTAATGTTCTCTAACAAACCTCTGAGGCTTTTACTGAACATCTGGACTCATCATGAAATCAAATTAAACACAAGAGAGCACTGGCTTCTGATTAGGTGAACTTTAAATAAAATGGGGTACATTTGGATTTTAATTAAAGTAAAAGAGTCATAGGGAACAGATATGCATTAAAAATCTCCCATTTTTGTGTCATTTTCCTTTAACCGCACAATGAAACACGATTTTATGTTGGTTTACCACATCAATTATTAAATACCCCCATTGAAATGCAGCTGTAGATAAACATGAGAAATTACCAAAATAAACCCACAGGCAAATATATTATAACGCATAAGATGAGAACTTGATATGAACAATAAAGCCATATCTTAGATTTCCTTCAAACAAAGAATCTAAGCATTTTTTTTACTGTTGATATCTTGCCCAGCCCTACCTTTAATTATACATATTTGAAATAAATTAAAAAGAAGATAAATCAAACTAGATGTAGCAGGTTTATCATCTTATCAAACTGGTTGTTCTTCTCTGTAGCCTCAGTTTATAAGTAACTCTGCTGCACTGTTTGTGTGGAAAACGGCACATGGCGCTGTGTCTCACTGAAGGTCACAGATCTCCATTTATTAGGTCTTTTTAATCCTTAGAGAGTTTCTCCTGCACATACTAAACAGCAGTGATGTAACCATTGGTTGATAGAAAAAAACAAAAATCATCACCGATAACATGCAGGATTTACTTCAGTGGGGAAAAAAAACAAACATAACAAACAAAACCTCCTCAAATGTTAATAAGAAAAAGGTACCTAACAGGAATTTACTGATTTTTTCCCCTGAATTTAACAGAATGTTTCCAAATAGATTAATCTTACAATATATTAAACACACTTCTGGTAATTATTCAAATCAGTCTGTTTTTTTTTTTGTTTCTTTTTACTCAAATCTTGGTCATAAATAATATAATAATCAAGGCTTTTAATTATGAAAGTTATTTTACTTTTCATGACAAGCTTGGGTTGAGGAAACGCATCTACAGCAGATAAATGGAAAACACAGGAAAAACATAACATGGTGTAGATTAAATAAAAATAACCAATTAGGGTGTTTTGACTGAAAACAAGCACTGCATTAAAACCTGTGATTTAACATGAGGTCCAAACCTGGAGCATTTATTCAGACAAATTAATCTGCAGTTCATCATGAATCTAGCTTCTAAAATAAACACAGCAGATTTTATATTTGTAAGACTAAATAGGAAAGAACGTTTGGATGTGCTGCTAAACAATCACTGCTTTATGCAATGGAGGAATCCATAGAGGCACATGAGTGACCTATTGGCCGGCTTACCTTACATACCTGTATAATTTCAGCATTCCTATCTATGGTAAATAATACCCACCAAAGGAAAACTTATGGAAATGAGCTGCTTCAACTGCTTATATGAAATCAATCCACAAAACATTAAGAGTTTCACTTTTTCCTGCATTTTTTATATCTCTATACTGATGTTAAGGATAGGTTCTGTGTAAACACCCTGATGCTCTATCTTATATACATTTTATTTACAAAACTCTACACACAAAATATAGGTTTGTTAAATTAAACACAACATATTAACACTTTGACAGAAAGAATCTGATCAGTGTTTCAAAGCAGAAACCAAATCATGAGATAAATTAGTTTTTATGATTTCATCAAACTTCTTGCTTTGGTTTTTCCTCCTCTGATTAAATAAACTACACCCTGGACTTCAAGGAAAAGGAGAAATGCTGCACAAACCTTGTCAGGATACTTTTGCACCAACTCCCGCACTTTGTTGGCACTGCCGTGGGCCGCCTCGATCACCAGCCTGCTGGGGTTGTCCTGTTCTGTGGACTGAGACAGCAGCTTCTCCAGCACAGAGATGACAGTACCTGATCAGAAACAGAGGGGGGAGGTTGTGGAAAGAGGATAAGAAAGATAGAGAAATGTTAGTGTCGTCTATCTAAAGTTAACCACAAAGGACTTTCAGCAGGGCAGAATCTGAAAAACAGCAGCAGTTAATGAATTTGTCAGAACTGAACAAAACCACAGGAATGAGTCAAAATGTCCTTCCATGCAGAGTGAATCTGACCACACATACATGCACACACATCGACATGTTATCACCCTTCCATCAACTGAGGTGAACATAAACACAGAGTATGATATGATTAAGAACTTCTGACAAGATGTCAAATGTCGGCAGAGCTGCCAAAGCATCTTGCTGTCAGCACGCTGCAACATGCTACAGGGAAGAGCTCTTAAACAAACGGACACCTTGTTTGCACATTATTGGGAAAAAAAAGAAAAGAAAGACCATTTCTGGCAGCCTGTGTGAGGAGGCATGCAAAGCAGAGACAGAGCTAAAAGGAGGGCTGGAGAGGATGAAAGAGTGACAAATGAAGGCCAAGCCACAGCGCTTTGAGATGAGCTCCCTGGTCCCCGCAGAGGCCTTACTTCCAGATTCGTTGGGGTTCTCGGCCGTCATGAGGTTTGCATCGACCTCTGCAGGCTGAGCTGAAAGGCACGCTGGGTTGAACGTCCAAGTCTGGCCTCCGAATGCCACCCGTAGGTCGCCATCTGCATATACTTTTAACACCTTTCCGACCTGGCCAAGCACCTACAGAGAAAGCACCAAGGTAAGGTAAGGTAAGAAGGAGGTAAGGTAAGAAGGACAACTTAGAATTATTTTGGTGAGAGAAGTTGTTAAAATGTTTAGAAATACACTAAGAAACCAAATCATCCTGTCAGAAAACGCACCAAGTGCAACTAATAATGCTGATGCCGCTGCGGGAAGAAAACCTAAAGTCTTTGCTAGAGTCAGAGGAGAAGGAGAGATTTAAGTTAATAATAATAATAATAATAATAATAATAATAATTATTATTATTATTATTATATTTTTTTTTTTTATGTTGAGACATATATATGGGGTGGGGTTGGGCGATAAGTAAATATTTCCAACCAATATCCCTCAGTCCAACAAATGGCGATGGACAATATATTCGTGCAAGTGACTTTGTGGGTAAAGACAAGCACCCCTTCAGAGAATGACTTCTGCACAATATAGTTGTTTTTAATAGTTGCACCTGGAAGGAGTTTGTGTTTACCATTAAAAACAGAATTAATTGTGTGTTTATTGTTGTGGGGGCAGCAACTTAACCCGTAGGTCCCAAAAAAAAAAAAAAAAAAAAGAAGAAGAAAACAAACGCTCTTAAAAAAACGATGGTTGAAGGGCTGAATCTATCATCGATGGTCGATACATTCGTCCGATCGCCCAACCTTAATATGGGGTTTATTTAGGCAGCGGGAAAGAAAAGAAAAGCAAGATTTTCAATAGACAACAGGAAGTTGTTTCAGTAAAGGTGCTTTGTTTTATCTTCTGTCTGTTGCAGGATATGCTAGATCTAAGGGAAAGGGACTTTAATTTTTCAGGAGTACTAAGTATGGTGTTTTAGTAAAAAAAATTATGACGTTGAAGAAAAAGATACCTTCACACATAAAATCCCTGAATAGTACAGTCCAAAGGAAATGTGTAGGAATCAGAACAGTACTTTCATCAAATAGTTAAATTAAATTCAGTATACTTCTTTACTTGTTTTAACTTCTTGTAGCTTCACTAGAACAAAAAAAAACTACATATGTAATAAACTGGAGTTGAATAGAAACTAAAGCCCAGCATACAGGAGTCATGCTGTCTGTCCACTCCCCATGGCCAGCCTGAAGTCTCTTCACAGTCTCCAGCTCCTCCAACACTTTAACCAACTCCCCGACTCCAAAGGTGTTCACCTGACAGAGGAAGATAAGGAACACATTAACGTCTCGGAAGCTAAATCTAAAATCATACTGAAGTTGTGATCAAAGCTCTTCAGCCTTCTGTAATTGGTACCTTAGTGAGCGCTCCCGGGTGGAAGGTCCAGCGGATGTTGTTGCTGTACTGGACCCGGACGTCTCCTCTGTCGGTTATTCTATGAACAGTCCCAATCCGACAGATGTACTGCAAAAAAAAAAAAAAAAAAAAACGGGTTGTTATTCAAGGTCCCGTCAATTCAATTCAATTCAATTCAGTTTATTTATATAGCGCCAAATTCACAACACATGTCATCTCAAGGCACTTTACAGTTCAACCAGATCATACAGTCAAATTGATACAAAGTTTTCTGTCTAAGGAAAACCAGTTGATTGCATTGACTCATTGACTCAAATACAATCCCTCACACTAAGCATGCTTGTAGCGACAGTGGAGAGGAAAAACTCCCTTTTAACAGGAAGAAACCTCCAGCAGAACCAGGCTCAGTGTGAGCGGCCATCTGCCGAGGCCGACTGGGGTTCAAGGAGACGGAAGCAGAGACACAAAAAGCAGCTGTAAAAGGCGGCCCCGTCCAGGAAACACACAGCCAGGCAGACGAGCTCCGAGCCAGCTCCCATTCCAGAGGACGAAGAGAGCACATCCACTCAGTCACGGTCAGAGAAACAGGACCACACTGGAAAACAGGCCGATCTCCAACATCTATAAACAAGGGTGTTGATGGAAGCAGCACAGCTGATGTTTCTTTCCAGGATGACGTCACAGCCAAACAGGAACAGACGAGGCAAAGCTACTTTGAGGAAAAGCAGAGAGAGCAGAAGTTTAGAGATTGAACTAACAGATTCTGCAGAATAGGAGAACAGAGAGAGAATGAAGCAGAATGATGAAAAAGGGGTCCCTATGTCCTCCAGCAGGCTAAGCCTATAGCAGCATAACTATAGAGATAGCTCAGGATAACCTGAGCCACCCTAACTATAAGCTTTATCAAAAAGGAAAGTTTTAAGCCTAGCCTTAAAAGTAGACAGGGTGTCTGCCTCACGGACTAAAACTGGTAGTTGGTTCCACAGGAGAGGAGCCTGATGACTAAAAGATCTGCCTCCCATTCTACTTTTAGAAATTCTAGGAACCACTAGTAAACCTGCAGATTGAGAGCGAAGTGCTCTGTTAGGAACATAAGGAACAATCAGATCTCTGATATAAGATGGAGCTTGGCCATTTAAGGCTTTATATGTGAGAAGGAGGATTTTAAATTCTATTCTTGATTTAACAGGAAGCCAATGAAGAGAAGCAAGGATAGGAGAGATATGATCTCTCTTTTTAATTTTCATCAGAACTCTGGCTGCAGCATTTTGGATCAGCTGAAGGCTTTTAACTACAGTTTGTGGACTTCCTGATAGTAAAGAATTACAATAGTCCAGCCTTGAAGTAACAAATGCATGGACTAGTTTCTCAGCATCACCCCTGGACAGGAGATTTCTAATTTTTGCAATGTTCCTCAGATGAAAGAAGGATATTCTAGAAACCTCTTTGATATGGGATTTAAATGACAGGTCCTGATCAAAAATAACACCAAGATTTTTTACTTTATTATCTGAAATCAGTTTAATCCCATCCAAATGAAGTGACTGGCTAATCAGCTTCTTTTTCAGAGACTCTGGTCCAAAGACTATAACTTCTGTTTTGTCTGCATTCAGAAGCAGAAAGTTAAGAGTCATCCAGGTTTTTATGTCTTCAAGACATGCCTGTAATCTATGTAATGGGTTAGCTTCATCTGGATTTATAGACAGATATAGCTGGGTATCATCAGCATAACAGTGGAAATTAATCCCATGCTGTCTAATAATTCTACCAATTGGGAGCATGTATAAAGTAAAGAGGATTGGTCCTAGCACTGATCCCTGTGGTACTCCACAGGTAACCTGTGAGCATGTGGAAGATTTGTCATTAACATGAACAAACTGAATTCGATCAGATAGATAAGATTTAAACCAGTCTAGTGCTGTTCCTTTAATTCCAACAAAATATTCAAGTCTTTCTAAAAGAATATTATGGTCAACTGTATCAAATGCAGCACTAAGATCCAACAGGACGAGCACAGATACAAGTCCATTATCTGAGGCCATGAGAATATCATTAGTGACTTTCACCAGAGCTGTTTCAGTGCTATGATGAGCTCTAAAGCCAGACTGAAACTTTTTTAAAAAGTTCATTATGGTGTAAGTGATCACAAACTTGTTTGGCAACTACTTTCTCAAGAATTTTGGATAAGAAAGGAAGATTGGATACAGGTCTATAATTGACCAAGTCATCTGGGTCAAGAGACGGTTTCTTAAGCAGAGGTTTAATTACAGCAACCTTAAAAGGTTTAGGTACATATCCCTGTAACAGAGATAGATTAATCACATCTAAAATGGAGGAGGAGATCTAAGGGAATACCTCCTTAAATAACCTGGTTGGAACTGGATCTAACATACAAGTTGAAGGCTTAGATGAAGACAATAATTTTGCTAATTCAGAAAGTTCAACTGGATCAAAGCAGTCTAAACCCGGTTCAGATTCCATGACTACCTCAGGTACAATCGCGGATAGAGGAGTGCTTATGATCTTATTTTTAATAAGATCAATCTTATTTATAAAGAATCCCATAAAATCATTGCTGCTAAGAGCAGGTGGAATGGACGGTTCAACAGAGCTATGGCTCTGGGTGAGTTTGGCAACTGTATTAAAAAGAAATCTAGGATTATTCTTATTCTCCTCTATTAATGAGGAGAAGTATGCTGCTCTTGCTTTACAAAGGGTCCTCTTATACAGCAGTAAACCATTTTTCCAGACTTCGAAGGACTCCCGCAGGCCTGTGGAGCGATATTTTCTCTCCAGTTTCCTTCAAAGTACGCAGCTCTGCATTAAACCAAGGAGCAAGCTTTCTATTTTTAACGGTTTTCATTTTCAAAGGAGCTGCGTTGTCTAAGGCAGTACGCAGAGAACTAGCTACCCCATCAACAAAATCATCAACCTGTGAAGGGGAATAAGCTATGCTTTTGCACTCTGCAGCACTCCTCAGTGACACAGAGGAGAGAGAAAGTGAAGCAGATTCTTTAAAATTTATAACTGCACTATCTGATAAAGATCTACTAAAATTGAACCTTCTTTTGGGGGAGGAGAACTCTGTTAAAGTAATCCTGAAGGTTATTAGAAAGTGGTCAGAGAGGACAGGGTTGTGAGGAAATACTGTTATTTCTTCACATTCTATGCCGTATGTCAACACAAGATCCAAAGTATGAAGATGAGAATGTGTGGGACTATTCACATTTTGAACAAAGCCAATAGTGTCTAAGATAGCATTAAAGGCTGCTCTTAAGCTATCGCCTTCAATGTCAGCATGGATGTTAAAATCTCCCACTATGATGACCCTGTCAGTATTTAATACCAAATCAGAAAAGAACTCTGAAAACTCATCTAAAAATTCAGAGTAGGGACCTGGTGGACGATACAAAGTTACAAAAAGAAGAGGTTTTCTTGCCTTGAAATTTGGATCAGGGAAATTAAGGGTTAAATGTTCAAAAGAGTTGTAGGTATTAACTGTTTTGGGAGTAATCAGTAAGTCAGACTGGAAGATTGTTGCTACTCCTCCTCCTCGCCCAGAACTTCTGGGTATGTGAAAATTTAAATAGCTTGAAGGAGTTGCCTCATTTATGCTCACATAATCCTCTTGCTGCAGCCAGGTTTCTGTAAGGCAAAACAAGTCAATGTGATTATCACAAATCAAGTCATTAACTAGCAGACTTTTAGAGGAAAGCGATCTTATGTTAAACAGACCGCATTTAATTGTTTTAACTTTTTCCCCAATTGAAGTTATTTTGATTTTAATTAGATTATCATGATTTACTCCTTTGGGAATCTTTGCTAATTTATTAGATTTTGGTCGTGGGCAAGACACTGTCTGGATGGAGTAAAGAGTGGGTAACAGTAGAGAAGCTGCAGAGATGTGTGTTAAACTACAACTCTGCTCAGAACACAATGCTGCAATCAGCCACCATGGCAGTGAATGTGGATGCTCTGATTGCCTTCGTTTTATTAGAGCATCCATCAAAGCCACTCTATCGGCAATGCAAACTGAGGAGAGAGCAAAGTGTTTCTACCCTCTCATCGAAGGAGTGGTTCTCATACGTACTTCGGCCATTTTGGGGTTCCATCCACCATGTCCTTCCTGCATCTGTCGCAAGATATCCACCTCCAGCAGACATTTGACTTTGTCTCCCTGCTGAAATGAGTGGCCGTCAGCGCTTTCCTGGCGCTGGAGCTCTGCATGCTCACCTGGGTGGGAAGGAAGCAGCGATGAATCAATGACTGCCTTCTGGGTTTTGCAGAGGAAGACACTCCATTTACTCTAAATTTTGCCCGGAAAACTAAATATTTTACAGCGATTTTATTTGACAGACCGATAGATATTGGTGCTGCGTTGTAAAATGCTTTCCTACAATTTTTTTCTTATAAACATCAAATACATTGATCCTGTTTTAAACCTTTAAATAAAAATGAGTGCACTGCACAAAACTCATTAAGTTAGTGAAGTAAGGCAAGCCATTTTGATATAAAATCAGCTCCACCACACTTAAATTAAATCTTGAATCGGTTTTTGACGAGACATAATATTTAATTAAGATAACTGCATTTATATTTAGACTAGGTTTAATACTAATTATTAATTAATTAAAACTAACATTTTGCCATTGATGATATTGAATTGTTCTTATCACTAGTCATGATACAATCTGTGCCAGTACTGTTTACATTTCCTTTTCACTGTTTACATTTCCTTTTAATATATTTATATATTTTTTAACTGTTTACATTTCCTTTTCCTTTCCTTTTAATATATTTATATATTTTTATTTTTATTTATTTCACGGTAGCTGATATGGAAGTCCCAAATCTCATTGTATCCGTTGCAGAATATAATGACAATAAAGGCTTTTTGACTTTTGACTTTGACTTTTTGACTTTCATCTGTCTGTAATAGGTAAAGATGGGTTAAAACTCGGAGCTGTGCTGGAAGAAAAATTGTAAAATCCTGAAAATGATATGTTGAGGTTCAAAGTTCAATATCTGGTGAAACATGCTGCAAAAGCAACAATGAAAGACCAGAATCTCAGACTTGAAAACTGATATATAAAAAAGTGAGACAGTTTTCAGATATTTTTTGGCACCACAATTCTTCTCCATTTCATTTAGTATATTCCTTAAAATTCCATCAAAATGATTCAACTGTAGAAGGTGTGAATATGTTTTTGAGATAAAGTGTTCTCTATTCACATACGTACCGAGCTTAGGTAGGTGATCTTTGTAGTAAAATCCTCCCTGACCATCCGACACGTACTTTAGGTCAACTTTGCCTTTGTGGCCCATTCGGTAGACATTGGTGGTGCCGTTGGACCAGGTGACACTGGCCACACTGCGACCGGACTCCGTGTCCCAGCCACGAATGTCCACCACTTTCCCAACCTTACCCTCCCCACCTAAACACACAAATACATAAAAAAAAAAAAAAAAAAAAAAACAGAAATACAAGAGGCAAAGCTGGATAAGTTTAAGGGTACTGGGGGAAAAATGCCCAGTGGATTAAAACTTTCCATTTAAAAACAACATTTGAAGTAATATACATACAGGGTTATGATGAAGAGAAAGTATACAAAGAATACAGAGTCAGATACAGAGAGAAATGTTTTCATGGGGAAAACACCTGACAAAACAAATTTTTTTGTTATTTCTTTAAGTTCCATAATGTAGAAGAAGAACACAGATTTTAAGAAATCATAGATTTTTAAGAACATCAAAGTAAATCGATTGATTTTCTTCTCCAGGAAAAAGAAAGTAGAATCTGAGCATGCTCTAAAAGGTCCACAAGCACAGGCTGCAGAAAGCCTGATGAGTGAGTTAGCTGAACCCCAGGGCAGAACCCAACAGGACATTTTGACTCATTCGGACTCAAACATGCAAACAGAAACAGACTTTGGACCATTTTCTCTTTCTATGAAGGGAGTATTTCCAAGCGTTCATTTAGTGCACTGATCTGGAAGATTGTTTTCATTTAAGGCTTCAATCCTTTGCTAAGCAGAGCTGAGAGAATCGGTGTACATCTTTCAAAACAACAAACACACATAACATCATGAGAGTTCATATGATGGAGTAAAAATGAAAGAGAACATGTTATGAAACAAGGACTCAACAAAGATTGTAACAAAACAAAACAAAAAAAAACTGGCACATCTGTGGGACAAACTCCAATGAAGCATTGGTGATGCAAAAAACACACAGAAACAGGTTAGTGTGGGTTAGTGAGGCGTGAGGTTAGAATGATGTTCACAAGGAGAGACACCTCTACGTTTAATGAAACCAACCGTAAAGAGAACCTGGTTAGTAATAAGACCACACACACACACACACACACACACACAGAGCAGACAAACAAACACAGCCCTCACCGTCCTGGTTCCCCCAGTCCCAGTCTGGTCCACGGACAACTTTGACTCCCTGGAAGATTCCTTTGAGGATGATGCGTGGGAGGTTCTGTCTCGGCGTCAGGTTCACTCTGTGACAAGAGCAGTAAGATGAAGGTGAACCAACACCTCAGCAGCCCACTTTAAGAAAGAGCAGCTAGGCAGCAAGTAATCAAATTAGCACCAACAAGACACTTTGGAACAGCTAAGTTTGTTTGTTTTATCTTTGATTCTGTAATTAGTTTTTATTGTTTTCCTTCATCTTTATTCTTTTCCTAGTCTTCTAAAGGTTCTAACATCCTATTCCAGGCTCTTCAATCGGCAGACCTGATGCTTCCGACTTACCTGAACACATTCAATAAATGATGAGTAGATGGAGCCTTTATGTGGCTCCTAATATGTGGACTGAGCTGCTGCTGAGACAGGCAAGATATCTACTGCTCTTCTAAAAACTCACTTGAAACCAATTTTGGGGGGCCTTCAACCCAAAGCAAGTTAACATCTGTCTTCATCTTTATCCTTTTATCCATGTACCTCTAATATTTCAACCTTCTATAGCTCCAACATGATTATCTGTTCTATTATTTTATTCCTGTTGTTTCTCTTAATCTCTTTCTAAAGCACTTTGGTTACTTGCTGTGCTGTTTTTCTAAAAAACAATGGGTATGATATGAATCAAATACATCTAGGTTGTTTATTGAACTTGGAATACTGAGGTAAAAGCAACATAAATGAACCGTACTTTTATGAATGATCACATATAATGTTCAAATGTTAAAATAAAGAGAAATACTTTGTTTGCAACTGATGTTTATGTAACTAGAATACAGTTAAAGTTTGATTGCAGCCTATTTAGCTTGTATTTAGACGCAGTTCTTCCGCATTCGCTTTCTTTTGACTAAAGTCTGGTTTATGCTTGATGCCTCCAGCCTACACGGCAAAATTACATCATTTAGCATCCATGCCCCACCATACCGATATCGTTTTGAAACTAGGAAGATGTGTAACCACACGGACTGTTTAGAGAAGGAAACACATCTACGATGATAGACAGCTCTGTATGATTTGGTTCATAATAATTACAACAATAAACATATTGTGAAAAATAGATTACTTTGCTTCTTGGATGACATATTAAGGCTATAAAAATGATTTCTACTTCTACATGTTGAGTGGTGTAGTAAGCCTGCACTCTATGCACAATAAGCCCCTCTGGAGTCAGACAGAATATTGGGTAAAGCAGGGAAAAGCAGCACATAGTAGAAATGCTGCAAACGATACATGAGGCATAACCAAACCTTGAGGCTGCACTTGAGATCTTTTCTGCTCTTCTCTTTCAATTACTATCATGCTTTTAAATCCTCTTTTTCTTACCTAATAACCACAATAGTTTTTTTCTATAAAGTGCAACTGCAACACTTTGGTCTGAATTATTGTAGCTTCATTTTTTACTCTTGTTCTGAGGTTCATCTGCATTCCCTTTAGATGGAATAGATGCACTTCCCACCCTGCCCTCTAGGATGACCAGATGTCCCGATTTCTACGGGACAGTCGTGCATTTTTCACTTCTGTCCCACAAATAAAAGCAACGTCACGCATATTATTGGGTAGCATTGGAAAAAAAAGGTAAGAAAATTAATTCACAGGTGCTTTTCCTTAATGCGAGCAAAGCAGAGCTGCAGTTATTGTCACAGAGCTGCACATGATGCTCTAAATTAGAACAGGTAAACGCTTTAAATACAAAACGACTGAAAAAGCCACGTCTGCACCACATTGTCCCTCATTAACATCCTAGTTCTCCAGCGCTTTAGGTGGAGGTAATATGTTTAACGTGGGGTTTCCTGCCAGGAAAAAAGGAAAGAGAGACTTCCAGCTAACAAGGAGATCTATGCAAGCATGTAGAAGTGAGCTATTCCAAACAGAAGTTACGGTAAAGTCTCGCAACCATGGACCCTGGACCTTCAAGCCTTGAAGATCATGAAAACAGTGAAAACACGGAATGACACATCTACATTATGTGGATGTCTCCATACCTTGCTGTCAATACAAAGGGAAATTGTAATAAAATCAAATTATTGGTTGAAAATAATTTCAAAGTAGATTCTTGGCAATGATGGCTTTAAGAAGGACAAAACTTAACTTTTCATAACTCCTAGACTTCAGATATGTTAAATGTTTTAAAGAGGAAGATTTGTTAAGATTCTGAATAATATGTCCCCTTTAAATGCAAGTGTATTTAAAGGACTAAGGATTTAGGCTGCTGACATTTCTTAAGTGACATTAATGGATGGTTGTATTCTGGTTTGGAAAGGTTTTAAAAAGTTACATTTTATAAAGAAAACAATAATTTTCTGTTAAAACATCAATTCTTGAGAAATTGTAAACTTGAAGATGCAAGGTAACATAGTGCTGCCCTTCCCCCACGTGTTGCTGTGAGCTCTTGTCAGCAGTTTTTTCTGCGTTCCCAAGAAACACAAATTCAGGTGGATAATATGTCTAGATGTGATGAAAGTAAATGGTCATAAATTTGATGAGGCAGAAGCAGCACTAAATGATATCATGTTTAAAGTTTGGTATGACAGTAATGTTTTGAAATACCAACAAATTACAATAATAAATAAAAATAATTTGGGGTCATAGTAACTAAATTATAAATATTCAGTAAAAAGTCTAATTTTAGCTATAGTAGTATGATTGATGATATTCTTTTTTCTTTTTGGGGGGCTCTGATTAGTAATCAGGAGGTCTAACACCAAGAAAATCAAAACACTTTCAGCCTATTCATCAAATTAATCAAAACCTAGAACTCCACCATGTTGATAAATAAACGCATCAATCAACAACAGGTACTTGGATGTGATTCTTTGGCCTATGACATTTTAGATGAAGGCTAGGGGGGTACTTCTCAATATAAAAAACTGTGATTATCATACAATTACTTAATGTTTTGTCAAATATATCAATTCCTAAAACTATCAAAAACCCTGGAGAACATATTTTCTCCTTTACATATAATCTCTATGTAATAACAATGAATAACAAGAAATAAATAGGTCAACAACAAAAACGTAGACATCCATAAACTGCTAAAGATCAGGAATCAGAGCATTGATACAGAGAATACATCATGACAATTTCATCTGACAAAACTGACATACCTTATTGTGAAGATTTGATCAGACCTTGTTGCAAAGGAGCTGCCAATTCCCATGCTTCTCAACAGGATCCAGGTCCCATTTCAACCAAGCAGCTCCGACAGACTCAAAATCATTTAACATCCAAATTGATGTTTCTTTTTTGAAGAGGAGTTTTATGAGTGCGCTTTCTTAAGGCGTTTCAGAGAAGTTTTCGTGGCATACCAGGTTGCGTTTCCGTCTAAGGTTTTGTTTACCATACTTGCTGGCTCCGCTGATCTACAGCGGGACGTGGCAGCCCATTTGGCTCGTAAAGCCAACTAGCAGTAAATCTCAGGATGGTACTGAGCTCAAGCAGGATGGTGCTCAAAACAGTCTGAGCAGAGCTTTTAGCCTAATCCTAGACAGCAGAGAGATCTGAAAGCAGGCCAACTTAGGGCAAGTCATAAACATTCACAGGATGGCAACTAAATGTACCTATTTAAATATGCATATGCACTTTTGTATAAAACAATGATGGTGAGACTATTATTAAAGTAAAAAAAAAGTTTTGATCAGTTTACACTGGTTTTGTTACACAGATTGGATGGAAATGATCAAAACAAACAGGAGAATCCTTTCATACAGAAGCAGACCTTTCTCATAAATAATAATTAAAAAAAACAAAAAGATACCATTCATTTCATGCTTAAAGAATAAGTAAAGCAACAACCGCCCCATTTCTGTGAAAGGTAAACATCACTTCAGTGTTTGATGTTTGTAGCGTTTCTTCCGAAGGATCAACATTTGTAATCCCTCTGAACCAAATGTCAGCCCTGATCATAGAAAGGATCAAGGGCAAAGAACCTACTGACACAAAAAGATTTGCCTCATTATTGCCAACAAACTATGGGGGAAGACAAAGTGAACAACCACGATGTTAAGAAAAAAGATTAAAGAAAGAGGGAATCTTGTGCAAGAAGCTACTTATTTGATTAAAAGGTTGATTATTAAAAGTTATACTTTAATACCTTTTGAAGTGAGGTTCAAGTAGCGATTATAACCTGCAGAGTATCCTGTAGGTGACACCATTTAGTGTCAATCCAGATTAGTTTTATATCCGGAGCTGAAGCTGAGGGCTAATCAGGAAGGGGACAAAGCATGTAGAGAAAAGCTTTCCTTTTAATTGAACTCTGAACTTTATAAATCTCACACTGGAGAAATTCACCTCTGCATTTAACCCATCCCCTTGGGAAGCAGTGGGCTGCCATCCGGGGGTTAAGGGTTTTGCTCAGGGAGCCATAGTGCAGGCTGTTGGGATCAAACCAGGTACTTGCAACCTCCTTAGAGCAAATGCACACTGCTCTAACCACTAGGCCAACACTCCCCTAGGTAACCTTAAGCAATATTCTATTATTAATATTCATACCATTTTAATTTTAAGCCAGAAACTCTGATGGAAAATATATTCTATATGTTGTATCTTCAGTTTGTTGGTCAGTCAGGAAGATGACCAGTGTTACACCTCCTTCGACTTTGGTTTCCTGTTTAATTACCAAATTTTCCGGAATTTAGAGTGCACTGTTACTACCCGATCCATCCCGGAAGTACAATCCGTCCTGCGCATTCGCCATCAACTCATTTGCGAATCCAGATATACATCCAGGTCGCCCTCGATTTTATTTTGTTAAAAAGATCTAAATGAAGCGTACTAAAATATAATGTGTGAAACATTAATGTATTTCCTGAAAAAATAAATGCTTTAAAATTCTCTTTGTTTTATCACTTGTCTCTGCCCGATCTGCAACGGAAATAGGATCCTACGCTACTTCCAGGAGCTAACTTTTTCGGCTTTGGATTTAAACATAAATCTAGTCTTTTTGAGGTATATGTTTTCCTTTTGTGTTAACCTTATGGTATATAGTGCAGAATTTGAAGAAAGACACAACTCAAATGCAGATACAGATGGTTTAATCATA